TTATACATGGACCTAAATTAATTTTTGCAACACTCCTCACATTTTCTCAATGTAAATAATGAGTGTATGCGTTGTTCGAAAATGTTGAATTTCAGAGCTCATTCCGATCGTACCGTCAGAGGCCGCCATTTGTCCATGTTCTGCGATACTTTGAATTAATGGTGACGTCAGATTTTATGCTGGTCGTTATTGGTCAGATCAATGACGGAAGTATCAAGATATCGAGTAAGCTGCCGACCTGGCAATACTTGATATTTAGCCGTTATTGGGTCAGGTAATCTCCCATTTCCACTCATGAAGCAAGGTTTTCAAGTCACCAATTATAATCAAGTTATCAAAAAGATGTTATCCTGTCGTTGAATAATACATAATAGGAGAAAGAGAGTTCTTCGAGCAACCAGCATGTCCAAATAATAATTCTTATATACTGCATAATGAAATATTATGTAAATATATGGAGACTTGGCAATAACATGTGCTGAATGCTGAGAAATGGCAAGACAACGCCCACAATTCGTGCACCGTGTTGTCACATCTACCGGTTATAACTATTATTCACACAAATTTATTATTATAAGCAATAAGCCACAACACAGGAGGGGAAAATTGGAAACAATGGATTTTTTATTCCTTATCCGGAATATACCAATACATAATTGAGAATTTATGAATTATTGAGTAACTACTTAATATTTCTGTGCTATGGACTGCCCCTACTTACGAAATCGTGACGTCTGTTCTTATATTTGCGGTAAATTTCTAACCGTTCGAAAAATACCGAGGCATTATTGATGATTTTTGCACCTTAGAATCGACCGTAAAATCCTGGAAAAATGTGAAATTGTAAGGTATTTGAGTGATGATACTATCTGAGAAATAAAAAAAAATTAGTCCACTTGCCCATTAATTTTTTTAACAGAACGGCTGAATTTCGATATTTTCCAAATATAGTATAGGAAGTGTTTATTTTGATGAATTTTCTCAAAAATATCTACCGGGTAACACCTCTGTAACTTCTGCATTCGTAAACGGATTTTTCTGAAATTTGGAACAGTTATATAAGAAACCATTTCGGATTTTGATGACATTACACTCCAAATAAGGCGGACTTATTCTGGTTTCATCAAACGGAACACCATGAATATTTTTACATATTTTGATTCAACATGTCAAAAAAGGTGCAAGCTTCATGTCAAATGTCATTTTTTGGAAAAAGGTGTGATTGATTTCTTTTATTATTATTTTATCTCGTGGATAAATGAAATGTGGTCGAGGCTATCAAAGATAAGTCCCACACACTAGAGAAACATATTTTTTTCTGAAAAACTATTAACGCTAAACGATTTCAGTCACATCAAATTTGGTTCAAAAATTCAACTTTTTCAAATGGCACCCCTATATATAAACCACCTACATATCTCTCTAGAACATACATTAAGGAAAGAAATCACATATCATTTTTTGTATTTCGGTGCAGTAAAAATGGTATACATTCAAAAATCAACATGTATATAGTTGCATGAGTTTCTTCTTAATTGCAGTTCTAATAATTTTTCAAGTGAGCTGTGGAAAACAAAATTTCTGAATAATCTTTTGTCATAAGTTTGCAGTTGTTTTGACGACCTGTTGAATTCGAATTTGTAAAAATATACAGGGTGTTCCATTTCAAAAAGCGGAGTAGCTAGCATTTCCAGAAAAATTGTTGAATTGCTTACATAACTATACCAAATTTCAGAAAAATCCGTTTCAGGAATGCAGAAGTTATGGTTGGGTTTGAAATGACCAAAATGTCACTTTTCGAACGTTATAATATTTCGAAAACTATTGAATTGGGGAGTATAGAGTGTATGAGATGGAACGGTTAAGAATCATATGGGGAGATTTCGAAAATTGAATAATATACTGGATGTTAATCCATAAAAAATTATTCGAGATGGCGCCGTCGTTTTCAAACTGTCGTTTATTTCATAAGAAAGTAGGTTTCAATTTTCTATCCGAACCTATCATGCGATACACCTGGCGTTTAGTATCGAATCTAGTACGTCCTATATCCTACACCAACCAGAGAGGAACATGTTCATTGCCATAAAAATATTCCGAATTTGTAGGAATTAATGGACACTATTTGTTCAAAACCTTCTACTTTTTATATAGATATATTCGACTCAATCCTTTTGAGTCTATTGATATTCCATATTTCAATATCTGATTCTTGGCTGGGAATAACCTGGATGGATGAAAAAATTACTTCTTCAAAAACTATATTTTGTTGCTGCATAATTAGTTGTCGCGGTACATATGACAGAATCGAAAATAGAAAACGTATGTACCTACTACCAGACTTGGGTCGAATACTGAAATCCGGTATTCGAATACGAATCCTGAATACTTTACTCTAAATTGTATTCGAATACTCAAGATTCGAATACATAGAAAAGAAAGTATTCGAATACCAATGTATTCGAATACCTGGATTCATTCACATATGAATATTTGATGAATATTCCAATTGAAAAATAAAACATTTGCGCACATAAAGCTGGTTCATATTTATGTATGTATTTAATTTATGAAAAAATAGAAAATCTATATTAAATGAAACTCGATAAATAATTTTTTGATACGAAGTGCCACAATGAGGTTTAATAAAAAACATTTATTAATTTTTATTCCTCAGTTTTATTTGAAAGATTATTGAAAATAAAACGATATTCAATGAATGAATGAAACTTGAAATAAAGTACTTTGGTACATTGGATAACAGTAAGGTGACACAAAATATTTGTTTAGCAAGATATTAATGGAAAATAATCTCAAATAATAAATAAAACTTGAAATAAAATTCATTCAATTTCAAATAAAACATAGGAACTTATAAAATATATGTTTAAGCGTAACGCAATAATATTCATAGAAATAATCGAAAAGTATCCGAAAACAGGATTCGAATACTGGGATTCAAAAACAGTATTCAGAATCCAGAATATCGAGTACTGACCAAAAAAGTATTCAGTCAAATACCGAATACCAAATACACAATTGTATTCGAATAGTATTCGAATACCAGCCAAAAGTATTCTGAATAGGATTCAGAATACTGGGTATTCGAATACTACACAAGTCTGGTACCTACCCATACTTTCCAACGTCTTATTGATTTTCTGGAACTCGACGTCTATCTTGCTTTCTATCACGACTAATAACAGTAATAACTCGCACACAGCATACTGTGACTTAAAATGTAGTCAAAATGATGGGAACACCATTTTTGGATTTTATTTGAATTATAAAATCTTGAAAGCTATCAACTGCTTGCTCGAACAGAATATCGCAATTAAATCTTTCAAGAAAATAATGACCCTAATCATTGTTATCCAGATTAAACATTTGCATAGATGCATTTTGAATAACTTTGCATGAAAACAATATCTAGTACCCTTGTTTAAGTACTTTTCTCATGGACTATCTACTACGATTTTCTTTCGGTCAGGAACATAATCTTCTCTCCATCCTTATCTGGGCCAAAACACGGTTGCCAAACGTCAGTCCTAGTACTTTCGTACTAGATCTATTACTTTTTCACTGTCTAGTACGCTAGTAATCTGTGTTTCGAAATATAAAATCAACAATACACTGCTGTAATTTGGAACACGTTCTCATGTTTTCATCAGGACCGACTTGACTAATCTCAGCAGCACTTGATCAACTGGCGGAATTTGTCAGTTATCCGGTTGGCACTTCTTTGTCAGTTTCTCGTTAATCTGGCCAATTGTAAAAGGCATTTTCTGATATCAAAAATGATATGATGATGATATGATGATAAGAAAATATTCCATGTTTGAAAAACTATAACTGAAATAAAAGTGACATTCTTTTCCCCCTCTTAAATAATGACAGTTCACTGAAGTCACACTATCACAGAATACCCTGTATTCTGTGACACTACCTCTTGATAGTCAGCAAATTTAGGAGAATGTTGAGGATGTTCCGATATTCCCGAACAGTGCTGCCCAGTATATTTTATAGTTTCGATTTTACTGAAATTTATACTGGCAACGTTTTCGAGGGTCATTGCAAGGAACCCTGTTAGAGGCTAAAATATCACTGTAGGCCACTGGTGCAGAAATGGTGATGTAGTGCCAGTATTCATGAAATGTTAGGTTAAGCGTTTGAATGGTTAGGTATGAGTCGAAAAAAAAAATATTATTATTCATTTCAAATACTTTGAATAAAAAGAATAATGAAATTAGAAGCAAATGAAACAAAACATCGGAAATCGAAAGATCATAGAGGTCAGGTCAGTATTTCAATACTGCCAAAAATGTTCAGAAATGAAATGAAAATTCAAAGCTCTCTACTGCTACTGTTCAGTGTTCCTAAATTACTTACTGTGGCCAGTAATGTCAGCAATATCAGAACATGACCGTTGCATCGAAATATTTGGAAAGACTAGTATGTCTGCTTACAAGTATCTATCACTGTTGTTATATAATGCCCTTGATAGTGTGAATACTCAAAGATCATGCGCACAATTTACTTTCAGAGAATCCAGCGGTTTGGACGAGTTTCAATCAGAATTTCATCAGAAAATTAGTGACGTCAATTGAGGGGCACACAAACTATCTGTTACGTTACCTTTGATAAGCATAGCCTTGGCCATCCCTCCCACATCCACAAATATGATAACAGTTTCACCAAACGAAATTATGGAATTCTTTCTGGTTCCAACTCGGATTCCAAGGAAAACGATCCCACTTATTCTGGTTTTATGTGACAAATCTTGACAAAACACAATGTTTGCCCCTCAGCAACCTGTCAAATGACGTAATTCTGGAATGATTAATATAATGAAAGAGTATGATCTAAAAACACACTAGTGGTAGTAATTTTTCCGGTGATTTTCTAGTACATTTAGAGCACGATTTTGAGTTGCTGGACTGGCAACGCTGTCACTCAGTCACTCATCACGTGGTGCACATAACCTCAACTTTACCACTAAACAACAAACAACAACAAAGGAAATATATCAGAGGAAATCACCTTTTTGAACGTGAATATATCTACTATCTATCGGAAAATACGAGAAAATATCAATTAATACTATGAGTGGTTTTGTAGTTGATATACCTAGAACAAAAAGTGTTCAGATGTAGAATGTAGATTACCATTCGTCATTGCAGGTAGATATTTTCTCCAACAGGTAAATAATTGAAATCTTCAATCCATTTCTATTTTTTTCTATTGGAGTATTGGTTAAGTTTGTTATTGCTTTTGCGATATCCCCCCTTTCCTTATACCTATTTGTAGTTACTTCGGACGGTAGGTATCTAATTACTTTTCGCGGTAAAAGTGCACTTATTATTATTTTTTTTCGAAAAATTTTCTTGACACTCACGTATTTTCGTCTGAAAAACACGAATTTCACAATGAAAATGTGAACAAACCCCTATTTATCGAGTTTTTTTACAAAAGTTTGATATTTCACCTTTTCTGCCACCCATCTTGGATATTCATCTACAATTACTTGTCCTTCTTTTTTCATCACTGGATAATTTATATCATAGATTTTATTGGGGTAATAAGTCAATTTATATACTCACATTGTACTTCAATATCCCAAACACGACAGGCCCATCAGTGCATATACCTTGGATCTTGGATCCACTGTATTTGGTAACTGAAAGATGTCAGAGGCGTACTACGAAAAAGTTTGGGGGGGAGATAAAAAAGCCTATACCTTCAAAAGCGTATCACTGTAGAAAGTATTAACTACACTGTAAGGATACATTTACCAACCAGATTCTAGGCTTTCATTAGCAAAATACAAATTAGGTATACTGACAACTATAATGACAACAGTTATTGACATAATCAGAATCTCAATGATACAGAGTGAAGTAACTGGATAACAGATACAGTATCATTACATATACAAAATTTCAAATTGATGTCTTTAAAAGTGAGCCTTATTTTAATTATTAAAAAAAAAACACCCATTTCAGTTTCTACCTCAAAACCTGAATCACCCTGTATATGAGTTGTTTACGGTTGTTTACACAATTTTTCTGTCGACTATAGTATCTGCAATGGAGAAAACTTAGTTCACGAATTGATCATTCACCCGCGGAAACTACTAAAAATTAGAGTCCCTGTATATACCATAGACAAGAGTCCGGACACAGCTATACTTCTGTCCTTTTCTGTTTTCAAAAAATGCATTGATGATTGAATAAAGGAATAAGACATATTTATCGAGCTCTGACTTTTCAATTCCCCTAGTATCAATGATTGTCAGAAACAATTTTGAGGGTTAGATTATTTGTCAAACCGTTCATAGCCGTAGGTAGAAGTAAGAAATAGGGCTATTTTAACTAGAATAACTATTAGATTTTCAAATCATGAACAACATGAAAACTAGGACGTGGGTGGCATTTTAACCAGAATTTTCTAACGTTTGACAACTGAAAGTTTGGGAAGTTTGTCAAAGCAAAGGCAAGCAGTCTCTCTCAATGTCCGAGTAATTCTCTATTTTTATTTTCAAGTAATGGAGGGATTCTACCAATATTCCTGGATTGAAAGCAATGTGTTCTTTTTTCCTCGATAGTGTTCTGATTGTAGGAAATGGGAATTATAATTTCAACAGGTGTTCATATCCAGTGGTACCACAAAAAAATTTGATAGCAAGTGCTTTATTGATTGTGTCGGTTCCCACCTCTTTCTGCAGTCTACATACGCCTGTAAATTTCGAATTTGATCTGAATTAAAAACACCGTGGACTGATGACATAGGACATTGCAATTTCTCTTAATCTTCTAGTTTTTTGATTCCAAACTTTCAATTCCTTACCGCATCATCTCATTCTCATTTTCTTTCTCTGCGATCGTATCATTCAGTAATTCCGAATACGATGACGACTGAACTCTTTTTTTGAATGTCTCTATTTTATAAATTGACGGCACAGCAGACTCTTTCAATTTGAAATCCATCAGCTTGAAAGAATCTCTATCAAAATCGGCCAGAAATTAATCTTCTTTGTACTGTTTTCACAAGTAAATTCGAATATTTACCTCACATATTGCGGATTTCTTGAAATTAATTTTCCATTCTGGACGTTCCATTGCATTCTTCCATGACATTATCTTTGAAGGATCATTCGGAAAATTGAATAACTTGAATCCCCTTTCTAATGAATTATCGCAATAATGTACGCAGCAGAATATTGAAATGATTTGAAATGTTAAATTTTGGCGGTCATAAAATTCCAAAGTGACAGTGACAAGAATTCGAAAAAATTAAAAAAAGCTGGCGGGACGACTATGGTGTTTTGTCACATTGTCAGGTGTGCAAACCAAATAAAACAAAATATCAAAAGCCCCAACGGCTGTCAGTTTTGTGTCCGGACTCTTGTCTAAGGTATATACAGGGACTCTACTAAAAATCACCCATTAGCCTTGTCACTGATATTAGTGACAATTGACATTTGTCGAAATAATCAACATGTAAAATAAATTCCTAGTGTTAGATTTGTTAGAAAAAATGGATTAAAATCGTTTCAGAGAAACCCGAAAACGTAAATGAACAAGTATATTGAATAGCAAAAATAAGTATTATAGTTTATCACCGACTGAACGCGCTGAGCATACTGACTCGCCTCTTATCATCCCAAATTCCATACCAGCTCATTCGCTCCAGCCGTTAGGTATATTCCTTATTCCTTACATAACCCATATAGTGAATCAACACCCAACGAACATGAAATACAGGGTCGTTCCTTCGGATCGCTTATGATAGAATGATGTTATGTGCAAATACATATTTTTATGTGAAGAAGAATTCAAATTCTCAACTTTGGTTTTCAAATTCTTATCGTGTGTGTTCAAAAGATATAATTTAGTGTTCGTCATCAGTGTGGGCATGTTCAAATTACTTCTGTAAATTTAGAACGGCATTTTCCGGAAACTGCTCATCAAAAAATTGAAAACTAGGATTTTGTTAAAAAAAGACTTGAACGCCCTTCAAAATAATGTGCATCTTGACCTCCCTCTTCATATTAGGTTCTAAGGGTAACATCTACCCCTCCTAGGGGGTTGAACTGAGAGGGATAAAAATATGCATTTTATATGCCTTCCTCAGAAATGGAATTGACGTGTCTTTTCGATTTTTCATATCATTTACTGAAAGGAAGATATTATCGCTATCGGGTGAGAACTTCTCTAAGTGACACGACATTTTTCGGAAACTGCTCGACAGAAAATGATTGACTAGGGTACAGTTGGAAAGAGAATTAAACGCCCTTCAAAATGATGTGCCACTTGACCTCCCTTCCTATATGAGATTCTGAGGATAACATATACCCCAAGAGGAATGAAAATAATCATTCCAAGTGTCTCCCTTGAAAATAAAATCGACCTGTTTTTTCAATTTCTCATATTATTCACTGCAAGGAAGATATTGAGAGTGGGAAGTTTTCAAAATGTCACCCTGTAGGTATGTATTATCAATTTTTTAATTTTGGTATGTTAATAATTTATCTGAGAATATTCCTTTTCAACCAATAGGCAAATTGATCATTAAGAGGGGGGTCAGTAACGATCAATTTCATAAACACTAAACTCACACTCGTTTACTACGAGCTCGAAGGAAAATATGTTTGTTATTTCAATTGTTTTACTCATGATATTGGTAAAGATAGACAGTTGTTTCAAAAGTAAGAGAAAATCCAATTTTTAATTTGAAGACATTTGACCTTGAATAATTAAAAAATCTCCTGCGGCGCTTTCTTCATTTTTCATAATAGTAAATGTAACCTTTTTATTCTCAACATCTGGTCACCCTACAGTATCACCCCCCTAGAAACTCACCTTAGCGAGCGCCCCTTGCCCCCGTGACTCCCCCATTGTGTACATTTTCCCTCTATTATCTGTATGACGCAAATCCATGGGACAGTTCCCCATCATTTTCCAAGCGGAAATACACGTCATAGAAAGATGCCATCCAGTTCAACCTAGACAGGAAATTCCGGAAGAAGGATAATATCGCGATTTTATCCGATAGCCAAGCAGCCATCAAAGCGTTGAGCTCCTCTAACATCAACTCGAAGATGGTATGGGAATGCCTAAGCAAATTGAATGAGCTAGGCAGTAACAATAAAGTGATCCTCCTCTGAGTGCCAGGGCATATCGGAGTGGAGGGAAATGAACAAGCAGACACTCTGGCACGACAAGGGGCTTCAACGCCACTGATCGGACCAAGCCATTCTGCGGCCTTGGAAAATCCTATAATAATGATAATAATAATAATAATAATAATAATAAAAAAAAAAAAACGCTCTTCATTGGTTATAAATTACAACCAAAAGGCCATCGACCGAAGTCCTGCATAAAAATGTGAATTTGAAAAAGAAAAGAATTTAAATTTCTAAATCTTTAGCCCAACTGATTTTTCAGTATTTCTTGAATTGTTCTTTCTGGGAATTTGAAACGTGTGATCTCATATCTTCTCTTAGAATCAAGTGGGGTATTGAAAGCTCCATGTTGCTGGTCTTGAGGACGAATTTTTGAGATAACTTCCTCAGCCGTTTTTGTATTGGTTCTATTTTAGTTTTGTGGTACAAATATTGATTAGATGGGTTATGTAGATAGTTGTCAGGGAGTCTCCTTCTAGTTATTGTTCTTAGGGATGACGTTTCTGCAGCTTTTAAATTCTGCACGGTAGGATTTCTGCAGTTTAGATATATCGTATGTCCGTAGTCCAACAAAGGTCTGCATATGGATTTATATATATCTTTGCTGCTGCTCCGATGTTGATGCGATTTTGTTTGTAAGACTCCTGAAAAATTGTGCTCTCGATGTTATTTTTTGTTTACAGATTTTGGAGTGATATTTGAAATTCAGTTTATTGTCCAGATGGACGTCACCGTTGGGGAATTATCATTTATTACATATGATTAAATAGCATTAGGTGACATTTCTGAGGATTCACTTTGAGTCTCCAATCATTCAGCCAATTCACGGTATTGTCTATGTGGGTTTGTAACCGTGCTGTTATAATTTTCTATCATGTGATATCAAGGCTGTGTCATCGGCGTATTGTATGGTGCAAAATCTTCTTAGGAGAACTTGAAAAGGCGGAAGGAACCTTGAGAGCCAGATAATGGAGAAGACTTCCAGGACTGTGGCAGGCTCAAGATCTCCTCGGAAA